CTTCCATAGTATAATGTCCTACGGGATTCTCATGTGGGGTAAAGCGGCAGATATTCAAACCATATTTGTATTGCAAAAACGAGCGATTCGTTCTGTGTACCGTCTAGGCTCTCGGGTATCTCTCAGAGAAAAGTTTAAGGAGACTGGTATCATGACTGTGGCATCACAGTACATTTACTCAAATATTTTATGCCCGTAAAAATATACATAATTTCAATAAGAAAGAAGATATCCATAATATTAACCTTAGAGCTAAGTCCAAACTCATGGTACCACGATTTCGTTTAACCAAGGTAAACAACTCTTTTATGGGGAACTGTATACGTTTTTATAATAAGATTCCGGAGCACATATTAAGTTTATCATTTCCTAAGTTTAAAAAGTACATTAAAAATATTTTGATCGAAAAATTATATTACAAAATTGCAGACTACGTGCTAGATAAAGATGTATGGAAAGACGACACGGCTCCAGAATCCAGACAAATTTGATTCCACAGCATTTAAGATTATTTGAAAAGAGCAATCCCTAGAGTTTCTTGCTCGTTCTTCTCAGGGAGATCAGCGTAGTGTACGAGCAGTAGCTTAAATGTGACGTTTTCAAGTGTATATTTATTATACCTATGGAATAAATAATCTTTGACTTTGACTTTGGCTTTGACTTTGTCTCGCACGTGCGGCGACGAAAAGCTTTGAATAATTAAAAGTTTTGCATTCTTTTTCTTTGCGTCTAGGGGCGGCTCTTTCAATGGATACACTAGTTATGTGTCGTTATGGCTTTTTCAAATAACCTAACGAAACCGTTTTGCGTTTTCAGATAACGAGAAAACTATCTATTTTTGACAACTATCTACTCGGACTTCGGCGCAAGTGACGAAGCGTTGTAAAACGTGACAAGCGCAAGGCTACAATTGATATCATAACGTAACTAAAATAAGAAAACCGTAGTTTGTTTCGTGGTTTTTTTTGTTTAAAAGCGCTAATATCTGGAATTTAAAAAAAAAATGCATTTGGTAGCCCAAATCTTGTCCATACATATATCATCACGCTACAACCCAAAAGTTTTATAAATATTATACACTAAATTACAGGTTCATTTATTTACAATTAAACACTATAAAGTCTCATTTAAAATAAAACTAATTTGCGCAATCCGTTACGATCAGTAAACAAATAATTAGTATGCCTATCATCATGCGCGACTGCAAGCAAACTAATTCATTACTAGATAGCAATGAATTAGTTTTTTAAATTTAAAAACAACAATCGCAAAAGAAAAGGGACCCTGCAGATACACGTGTCAAGGTCAAGGTCAAAACTGCAAAAATTTTAAATTTCCGAAAGTTATTCATTCTAATAACGACTTTTATTCATAATACAAAAGTCACATTATGCAACAACGAAACGTCATCAATTTCATAGTAAATTCAATCATCCTACCTCGTACTTATGCAAACGGGACGCGCGTCCTATCTTATATCTTACTCGCTCTTACCGTTGCGTTGCGATGCCTCTACGTCGCCAACCACAACGACAACATCTATTGCGTGATTATATAGAGCGTTGCAAGATAGCAACACTTTAAAATCACTACAAAACAAGCGATGGTTGTCAAAAACGCAGTGACAATCTTAACGGCGCGCGTTGTGAAAAATAGAAAGTTTTGCTGGGTTAGAAAACGAGTGATGGTTATGAAGCCAAATTGATAGTTTCAAAACTGTCTACGCTAAATAACGCCCATAGACAGGAGACACATTTAATACGTCGGCTACTACATTATGTTTGCTCCGGCAATAAATACTGTCGTAATCCCATTAGTAAGCGGCGAGGGCTCAGAATGCTAATCGCCACGTTGTAACACAAGTATAGGTTCTTACGTGATCATACGATCAAGTTATTTTTATTTATTTGTTCACAAAAAGACAAACTAAACTTACGTGCTAATTACTTATACTATGTACAGATTTGATACTTTGTTACACATTATTGCTTAATAATTTGAGGAAAGACACTCTTTGTGTTTCCTCAAAAATCGAGATAAATTTCCTACTGTGGGAAAATATCTTTAACGAACGCTTGCCGTCCTTGGCGGTATTCAGCGCAGCAATAATTTGCACGGTCTTTATAATGTTTGCGTCTGACGTGGTGCTTTCGAGGTTCGAGAGCCCTGAACCGTAATTACTCCAAAACGAAACATCAACGAGGACTTAAATGATAATTTACTGTTTGAAATTAATATAGTAATAAAAACGTTTTGTATCGCGTGCAAATATACAGGGATTGTTTTTCAAAATATATCCTATTTTTGGATTGAAGGCCGTCCAGACGTAGTTAACATTCTTCCATTCACCGCCTTGAGGAGCAGGACATGCATAAAAGTAATGCATCATTCGATGAGGCATGACTTTTATGACTTTTTTTTATGAAGCATTACTTACATGAATGATCTGTCTGTTATAAAGGAGGACGAAACAATTCGTTACTTTATCGCAAAACCAGTGCTTGGAAAATATTGACAACTTTTGGTCGGCCTCCATGTCGATGTCAGCAACCGATACGGGGACAGGAACACTGTGTGCCAATCTGCGAACTCGTGTGGCATTTTCTGGCGGGGCCTTCGGTTCGGTCCGCGACCGGCGTTGTTGTAGCCGAGTGAAGGATTCCGTTGTCTATCAATGGCGCTGCGCTGTTGTTCCCCCGTGATGCAACGAAGAAGCGCATCGTGCCACTCAACGTGGTTCTTTCTTGGAGAGTATAGATTGACGTGTGAAGTGGCGAATGTGATTGTAGTGGTGTGGTAAATCCTCCACATTTGCAGGTATGTCGAAATTTATTTCCGTCTTGTTATGAATTTTCTTCAATTGCAATGCTTCGAGTTCTTGCTTATTCTGAAACTGAATTATGGCCAATATACGCTTGAAGGTTTCACGGATTAAAAAAGTATGTAAATGCAGAATATTGGACAAATTCATCCTTGGACCTCTTAGAGAAATCGACAAAATTAACGCCAGAGTCAAAAATCATCGATTGTCACAAATTGATTGTAGTAATTACAATTAATTTTTATATCGTAAGGAAGTTAGAGTGTTTTACTCGGCGCGTTCAACTGATTGAATAACTTGAAACTGTGAATAAAATTAAATCAGGGAACAGAAACACGTTCACTTAAACACTGCGTCAAGATACGGGAAACAAGACAAATGTTGTTCGAGTTAAAATCTGTATGTAACGTAACCACCGATATGCGATTTGTGCATTGCAGCAAGAGCAAGATAAATTTCACGTAAATTCTGTAAATTTATTTGAAATTTATCGTAAACAAAAGGTAAATCATCTACCAAACAAATACTAGAACAATAAGTAACAACTCGGCGGAGGTTTGACTTCTTAACAGCATTTGTCCATTTGTAGTGGCGGTAGCGTAGGAACGAGCCGCAGGCGGTCGTGACGGCGTCGGCGCGGCGTCGGCGCGACGTCGTCCGGCAGTCGCGCGGCGACCGCATCCGTGCTGTGCTGTGCCGCGTGTCGGTCTGTCCTTTGCGTTCGCGGCAACTCCAAAACTTTGCCGGTGATAGTTCGTGAGTTGATTTCAGCCAATTCCCTTCTTATGATGATGCGTTGTTGTGTTTCTGGGTGCGATGTGGCGGTTGCTGGGCAGAGAATCTTTCTTCCGTGCCGGCAGCTGGCCGATTTCAAAGGTGAGGAGTCTTAAACTAAGTTTGGATATTTTCGAGCAGAGCAGGCGTATGGCCTAAACGTTTAGATAGTTCCCTTTTTGGGGAGAGAGAATTCGATACTCACATTGTGTTCTACGTTATTGCTCAACGCTACGTTGTTGCTATTGAGCATTGAGGCTCCATTGAGCACCTCTCAGTACAATATGGATTTGCTTCGGTTCGACCGAGCCTTTAGTTTTTTAATTCCTTGGTGGATTCGATTGCGTAAGTGAACTCACGCAACGTAATTTGGCCTGCGCTGCGTAAGTCGGCTTGTTCACCTAATTACGAGGTCTACCGCTCGAAGCCATTGCGGTCCGAAAGTAATCAGATTGGTCTCCGAGCGGCGTCGGCGAGCGCGCTCGTGCGATTTGTTTTGATACGATTTTCTTTGTAATTCGAATAAGCGTAAACGAAGATATGATTAACATGGCATTATGACAACAAAATATGATCCTTAATGCCTCACACGTTAATGCATATTTCCTACTTATACGCCTACACTACTACTTTCCTTAAATACCAACACTGTGCACAGGTTCCATCCTGAATTAATGTTCTCTCTATATGTGTACGTCATTCTACAATCCTCTAAGTAGAATGCTTCGCCGTTCGCTGCCTTGGCACCACAGCCCGACGGACTAGATGTTTGCTACTAATTCTGGTGTCGAAAAAACATAACAAAAGGTCCAACGTCGCCGTGGGTATTACTAATTGTCTATAAATATGTTAAATATGAGGTGAACTAATAACTTTTTATAAATACGTTACTTACCTTTTAAACTATTTATTTCCACACACATTAATTCCATAATAAAGAAAACAAGACTATTTAAAAATATGTATAACAAAATTAGTATACAAAACTACTCCATAAATATTCTTTGTGGAGTACATTGAAATTTATATTCAACAATGTCTCCATCATCAAATATTTTTATCGAGTTTTTTTATTTAATTGGATTTGAATTAAATTTTGCGTAAAGAATTGTTTAAAACGCTGAAATATGGAAACAAGCGAGTGTGCAGTGATTACTTAATAAGCGTTTTCAACTTACCTGTCTCTCAAAAAATATACACTGAGTAATTTTTTTTTTGGACGTTCAACAAACATTAGGAGAAGACACTTTACTTTACTTTACAGACGTGACTGGGTTGCTGAATTTCAAAAGAATTTAGTAGAGCTGTAAGTAGTCTTCAACCTCTAACACGGAGCAAACATCAAAAACGTTGAAAAGTTAGTTTTGGAAGACCGAAGAACAACCATAAAACATTTAGCCGAGATCCCACAGATTCATTTCAAAGAATTTAATCAATTTTGACTGATTCATTGGGATTTGAAAAAGGTTCGGCAAGATGGCAATCACGAATGTTAACTGAAAATAAAGAGCCACGTTTCGTTATACAAAGCGTTACTAATCTTGCAATATACCGTCGTGATCTAGCTCTATATTTTGTCGTCGTTTTGTTGCCGTGACAACATGATCCTAAAACCAAGAGTCTTGAAAGCGATCATCTTCTCCACCAGTGAAGAAATTTTGAGTTGCTCTATCCGCTAGCAGACTCATGGCCTCTTTATTCCGAGACAATAATGGAATCCTTTTCATCGATTATATCCTGAAAGGACACACGATTGCTGGACGCTCTCACGCAAATTAAAAGTGAATGAACAATGAATTTAACCTTGGGCGTGTTGTTTCATCTAGTGTTGCCCAAATGCAATATCAAGACGGAACTGAACCTAGTCTAGGTCTTGCGTCATTACACCTGGACCCCGATTCAGAACTCTTCGATATCTTAACCGAATTGTTCGATTGGATATCCAACAACGTTTACGGAGTTAGTCGGCGAATATAGATTATAAGAAAAATGAGATCCTTTTACATACATTTTTAAAATTTTAAAGGCCTGAAATACAAGAATGCATAAGTCTCGCATTAAAATAAATTAATAAAATTGAACAAAATCCAGATTTTATTTAAAAGATTTCCATATTACATTCTTGCTTTGTGTACAATTATACATTTTACACATGTGATGTAATTTTGTTGTGCATTGGTCTCACCCAAGGAGCACACTTTAAACGCCTTAAAACTGTTATATCTATAAACAGTCTTAATATGGTATAGATTTAGATAATGGTTCTCTATAAATGGTTTTAGAAAAAAGAAGTTGTTCTTATAGACTTATTTCACTCAAGTCCAAATTTTAAAACCTTCTCAATACCAAACAACTTAATTAAGTGTAATCTCTCTTAAGATTTACTCTTATAGTCCTTATTTTAAGTTCATCTGTAGAACAACTGATTATTTTTAGTAAAATTGTTCTTTACAGATCCAGTAAAGCCTATTAATACTCTAAAAACTAGTGTTCTAAAGTTTATTCTAGATATATTTAATTTATAGACATTCTGTAGTGTTTGTACTTATTGACAAACACGTTATAGCACGTCTTCAGTAGATTTTATTTAAAAACATACTACAATTAGGGTTTTTACTCTATTGGACGTTGTAAGAGTTTATGCAAAATGGATACAGTAAAGAATACTAAAAGATCTGGTGGAGGTGGTAAACCTTGGATATTAAGTCACATAATTCGATACAATCAGCGTCGCCAATGCCAATTGTTCAAAATCCCCAAAAATCACTATAATAATAATAACGTACACACTCAACATAGCCCCGCACTGGGGAAACCTTGTGTCGCGGGTGCCATGGACACACACGTAGACAACCACAAATTACATCCAAACTCACGAGAGAAATAAAGGCCATACAAATATTTCTTCCGACCCGGGAATTGAACCTGGGACCTCTGCATGGCAGTCCGGCATGGTAACCGTTCGGCCAAGGAGGCGGTAAAAATATTTTCAGTAAGTACTACATTGTGTTATCATAGTTATCATTTAAAAGTGTTATTTTATGCACTAGTACCTATATATAGTATTTAATTTATATTTAAATTAATCGTAAATATAAATTACAAAAGCAATCAAAATAATCAAATAGCTAACTGTCTCTTTCCGACTCATAGCTTGCGTAAAAGACTGAACGAGACCCAACACGTCAATTTCAATTGTTTCAAACACAAGCGTTTGAAATATTTAGAACAAAAATTTCATAGAGTCGCTTTGATGCTAATGTTATTATTAAAATATTTTTTAATACATGTTAGTAATACTTTCAAATATTGTTGTACTCTTTCTACGGCTTGGGGTTACGAATCAGAAGACCGAAAATACATTTGCCCGAAGTAACGTTTGCACGAATTTCCATAATTCCGAAAGTATTTTTTTAGGTTTTTTATAGAATATTACAAAACAAACCTAAGCTAACTTAGTCTTTTCTTTGTAATAAGCATCCAAAACTCCCTAAAGCATAACGGTTTTATTATGAATCGGTTTTCAGGATTATGAAAGTTTGGCTTTACGTTAAATTTGAATTTAAAAAAATCGAAACATCGGTACATTTCTTATGGCATGGCATAATAAATGTATTTGTTTCAGTTTTCCTCGAGATATATTTACCTATACTTTGCTCACTATGGAGAAATATAATAACTGAATCGCGACGAGAAGAACATTAAATTTTATCCTGAAAATATACAAATTTGTTTGCTCGGTTCATTTTAGACAATCGGATATGTACATAACGAGCAAAGGCTTACGAAAATTAAAAAAACAGCTTTGCCCACATTGCTAGTAAGAACTAGATTTTGGTGCCTAGGCATTATATTAAATTTATATTAAAGCTTTGGTATGTGATTACATCAATGAGTGAACTGTGCATAGAAAGGAGAGAATACAGGAATTTATCCAGTAAACATAGCTTGAACTTAAGGAGAAAGTGACAAGTATTAACAGAGAACATCTTACACCGCCAAAATGCATTAAAAATCAAAAGTTGGATGAATGACAAAATATACCAATTTAAGAAACAAAGAAGGTAATTGAAGCAGACTGACACTGCAAATTAAATAGGATTTTTTTTAAAGTTTAAGCAATTTGTAGCTTTCACATGCAAACAATACAAATAGTACAACCTTGATAGCCTAACGGTTTGCACTGTGGACACTGGATGAGAAGTTCCCGGGTTCGATACCGGTAGGATTAATTTAACAAATTAACATTTCTAAATGGTTCTGGTGTTGGTATTCTATTGTAAGACAATCACCTGGTCTGAAACTAGGGAACTCTCTGTACATACTCCCCATGAGTATCAGAACAACAGAATCCCAGAGCAGAACCAATTTACAAAAGTTCATTTCCCAAATTGGTTCTACCGGGAATCGAATCTGGGACCAAGAACGATGGAATTTATTTCGGGGCACAACTCCGAACACCCAGGCCAAAACAATTTTCGAAAAGTTCACATTTAGTTTTATAGTTGATTGAGCTAATTTTTTAAGGTTTTTAAATAAAATCTCGAATAACTCGAGAAATCGGGTACGAGAATTCTCGAAACTCAAAAAAAAAATCAAACACCCCTAGCTCGTAATGAATGGCATTATATAAAATTCAACATTTACGTATAAAATTTATTTATAAATAATAAAGGCTACTCCATTATACCTGTGTTCAAGTACTTTTCACTAGAAGCTACATATGGTGCATTTTGGTAAGATTCCAGTAGAAGCTGAATATGGTGTTTTTTTGTGCCTTTCAATTGTTGCAAGCAAAATTAGACAGTACTGCGATGACATTACAATTTAAATTCAATGTTTTAGCTTTTTCATATTCCTTTACATGTCACTACGTTTAAATAGGTTGACTTGGGACGTTTTTTTCGTGGTTTTTGTATTAGACCCGTCGTTTATTTATTTATTCTATTAGATGTCTTATAGTATATATTTAGATATGGGTGTGCTGCTTGGGCAATCTATTATTTGTACCTGTAATGAATAAATAGATCGACCGTGTTCATAAGAGTTCTAGAGGCATCACAATATAGGGCTTTTCGCATAATAA